AGTGCAATGGCGCTATCTCGGCTCACTGCAACCTCTGCCTCCTGGGTTCAAGCATTTCTCATGTCTCAGCCTCCCAAGTAGCTGGGATTACAGGTGTGCACCACCACACCCCACTATTTTTCTATTTTTAGTAGAGATGGGGTTCCACCATGTTGGCCAGGCTGGTCTTTAACTCCTGGCCTCAAGTGATCCGCCCGCCTCAGCTTCCCAAAGTGCTGGAACTGCAGGCATGTACCACTGCACCTGGTCAACAGTGAACTCTTAAGAGGCATTTATCCTAAGTGTCTGCATGAAGTAGAATGGGTGACAGTCCATAAAAGTTGTAGAAAAACTTTTCAATCGTCAAGAAAACCAGCTAAGCTACCATGAGATCTAGTCTTGTAAGGTTTTCAGTGGGCAGGCCGAGCAGTGGAGCCCACGTGTGAGTAACACTCAGCCAATAGGGGACTTGCTAGGGAAGGTAGAGTATAATTGCTGAGAGACCTTCCTCGTGCAGATCACCGGCCCTAGCCAGCGTTGTGTGTGGACAGCAAGGCTGTGCAGGCATTTTATGTTTATGTTTGGGCCTGCTCATGAAATGAAGTTATCCGAGAGTCTTGTTTTAAGGGAGTCTGTGGTATGTTGAAGGAAGCAGTTGTTCCAGAAGAAACATCTTGACATAGACTTCTGTCTGTGTCAAGAGCCACATCTGATCCATGTGGATGTGCAGAAAAGGGACTTAGGAAGGCTTTTTGGGAAGTAGTGTAGGATTTTCTCTCTTGAATTTCAGCATGTACCCTAAAGCTTGAAAACATTTTCATGTGGAGATTCTGACAACTTTATCATGGCCCCTGAGGCATATTTGGGTGTTCCTGTGCCCCGCTTGGCTGTAACAATGAGTTAAATATGCATGTTTCTTTCTCCATGCCCTCAGATCACCAACTGTGGGGGCTGGTTGGTTGGAACTGTTTATTGTTATCCATCCAGGGTGGTGGGTCTCTGCCATAAATCACAGTTCCACTGTTTCTTCTCAGCAGCAGTGGATCCTGTTTTTTGAGACCACTGCTGGAGTGACCAGCTGAAAGCAGGATGCCTGATTGCCATGGCAGGGAGGCATAACCCAGCTTCATCCTTGTGCCCTCAAGGATTTCCAAAGCCTCAGTCGGATTGCCACACTGCCTCTGGAGCCATAGCTGGCATTTAAGGAATCTTAATAACAAATTTGGGCCAGGCGTGGTGGCTCACGCCTGTAATCCTGGCACTTTGGGAGGCCGAGGCGGGCGGATCACCTGAGGTCAAGAGTTCGAGACCAGCCTGACCAACATGGAGAAAGCCTGTCTCTATTAAAAATACAAAATTAGCCGGGCATGGTAACACATGCCTGTAATCCCAGCTACTCAGGAGGCTGAGGCAGGAGAATCACTTGAACCCGGGAGGCAGAGGTTCAGGTGAGCCAAGATCACACCATTGTACACACTCCAGCCTGGGTAATGAGAATGAAACTAAAAAAAAAAATCTGCAGTTGATCATTTTATTTTTGCAAAAGTGACCATATCAACAGTCAGTCATAGAGAAGTGCATAAAAACCGGAATGGCATTTGGTTGCATTTCTCCAGCCACCTCCACTCATTTGGCAATGCCTGAAATGTGAAGCCATATCAAATTTCTGTTGGTAAAGATATTGTGATCCGCTAGCAACGTCTGCCATGAGCGTGAACTCATGTGTCCCATGTTTTTAGACTGTAAGATCCTTGAGTTTGTTCATCCTAGATTCCCAGGGACTTTGTTCAATGCAAGGTGGTTAATAAGCGGCACAGGAATAGGGAAGGCTGTTGGATATTAGCTAAGTAAGATTTGGGGATTTTTAAAATGTGGGCTACGAAGTCTGGAGAAAAATGCCCTCAGGGTGCATGAGAATCTTTGACTCTGATTATTCTGTCTCTGAGATACTGTGGCTCAGATTAAAAGCACAGCCTTGGAAATAAAACAGATATGAGTCCAATGCCCGAGTCTACCACTGGCATGGCTTACTTTACTTAACCTTGGGCAGTGGTTTTGTTGTTGTTGTTTTCTTGTTTTTGCTTTTTTGAGATGTAGTCTCGCTCTTTCGCCCAGGCTGGAGTGCAGTGGCTATGATCTTGGCTCACTGCAACTGCCACCTCCCGAATTCAAGCAATTTTCCTGTCTCAGCCACCTGAGTAGCTGGGACTATAGGCACATGCCGCCACACCTGGCTAATTTTTGTATTTTTAGTAGAGACTTGGTTTCACCATATTGGTCAGCCTGGTCTCAAACTCCTGACCTCAGATGATCCACCCGCCATGGCCTCCCAAAGTGCTGGGTTTACAGGCATAAGCCACTGCACCCAGCGTTGGGCAGCGTTGTTGATGCCTCAAGTCTGTTTTTCCCTCTGTCAAGGATATAATACTTTCCCTGTTGGGTTCTTATGAGGGTTGCCTGAGACTGCTTGGAAACCTTGAACATACGGGAACTACCAGAGGCACTATAGCCTTGAGAATTAAAACCATAATAACCCTCAAAGGTCCCACACAGCATCAGTACCCTGCAGCAAGACTGGTAGACCAGATCTTTGCATGCAATTCCTTTTCATGTTCTTTTTCAGAGAAGACAGAAAATCTCTGTAGAGTGCCACCTAAAGAGTTCTCTGCGTTGTGGAAAACACAGCTGTTGATCTTGTGAAATGGCAGGTTGTGTCAGCCGGAAACTGCTGACTAGTGCATTAGAGCTGAGGCTTGGCATGTGCTCTCCCTCGGTGCTAGTTAGTTGTCTTTGCAGACCTCCCAGCTCACCCTCACTGGCAGCCCTCTCAGCCCTAAGTGGGGTGTGAAAGAGAAAGGACTATCTTTTCAAAGGTTGCAGATTTCTGCTGTACCTTGGTAACTTGGTGTGAATTAAAGTGTGTAGCTTGATCTTCATGATATTCCCGGGTGTTCAAAACTGGAATGGTACCTACTTTCTCAAGTTGACCCTGCCCTGAAACCCAGTTGGAGATAAAACAGTGGCAGCTTGGATCTCCTGATAAGGAAAGCAAATGACAATAGCCATGTTGAAGGATTTCATTCCAGAACTCTGTCCCCCTGACTGCCACATCTCCTTCCTTCTCAGCGGCATTCTCTATATGATGGACGTGTTCAGTCACAACACTCCCTTGCTCTGGAAGTAAGAGCATGGTTCTAGTGATTTCTCTGAATACTGGGAGCCAAACTCTTTGTAGAGAAATGGAGCTTGGAATTCTCTTGTGTTATTTCCAATACCACCCTGTTTCCAGATTGACCAAGTCCCAGGGTGCAGGCTAGAACATCTGGGGTGTGCAGAAAAGACCTGTGTAGAACATCCAGCCTCTCTTACAGAAGCACCAGCTCAGTCCTCTTATGGTCATATCACCTGCCACCTTCCCAGTGCAAACTTACAGGTTATACGAAGCTGACACAAAACAAGTAAAAGGTTACTGTGCGTGTTGAAGAGTGAGGACATTGTGGATGCCAGAGATAGAGAAGAGAGAGAACCCTGTGGACTCGCGGGAGGCTCTCTGCCTGAATTAGATGTAAGGGAAGTGCCAGATCACATTCTGGTGGGGAATATATGCTCAGGGAAGGTCTGGTTTGTTAAAGCACTATCACAGGAGAGGGCCCCTAAAAGACAGTGCCCCCAGTCAGATGTATCAGCCAGGAAAGAGCCCCGAGGATGGGTGGACAGTCAGTAACCTGCAGCTCCATCTGCCTTCCCCGACCCAGGGCTTCCCACTTTCTCAGAACCCCAGTGTCTCATACCTGGCAGCCTGCTCCTTCTTCACTTCCAGAACTGTGGACTCTGGACTCTTGATGTATGTGGAACCCCCTTGTCTTGACACACTGGTACCCCAGCACCTCCAAATGTGCAGTACCTGTGTGTACAGTGTGCACACCGGTATTGAGTCAGCTGTAGCACAGATGGGCATGTGGGTGCTGGAGGAGGCTGGACTAAGAGTCCGACCCAGAAAATGAGTTAGAGTTTTTCTCTTAAATTTTCCATTCCCTCCATCCCTTACTCCCACTCTACCCCCTCATCATTTTATAAAACATATGTAACCACCACCTGTAAGATAGATTGGGCAGGCGCGGTGGCTCACACGTGTAATCCTAGCACTTTGGGTGGCTGAGGCAGCCTCATTGCTCGAGCCCAGGAGTTCGAGACCAGCCTGAGCAACATGACGAAACCCAATGTCTACAAAAAATACAAAAATTAACTGAGTGTGGTGGCACACCTGTAGTCCCAGCTACTCAGGAGGCTGAGGTGAGAGGATCACTTGAGCCTGGGAGGTTGCAGCTGCAGTGAGCCAAGATCACACCACTGCACTCTAGCCTGGGCGACAGAGTGAGGCCCTGTCTTAAAAAAAAAAAAATTCTCCCAGACACCCCATGTTTTACTAATAGGGTCTTCTCTGGGAGCTTCACAGGTAACAAAGTCAGTGTTTGCTAATTATAAAGCATAAATTGTGTATCCCAGTAAAGAATGTTAAAGACATGGTGCCAGGTCACTTGTCCCCAACATGCACCTGCCCCAGTATGGCCTCATTCATGGTGGACAATTGAAACTCTCAGGAATTCATCCCTGCCCAAAAGTAGCTAGCCTGCATGTCCCCTGCCATGCAGGAGGGAGGTATGTCCTGGTAGTCATCAAACTGTGCTTGAAACACAATGGCCTGCTGGAAATGGTGGCTCACACCTGCCTGTAATCCCAGCACTTTGGGAAGCCAAGGCAAGAGGAAGACCCTCATCTCTATGAAAAACTCAAAAATTATCTGGGCATGGTGGTGCGCACCTCTCATCCCAGCTACTTGGGAGCCTGAGGTGGGAGGATCTCTTGAGCCTAGGAATTTGAGGTGGCCATGAGCTATGATCACACCACTACACCCAGCCTGGATGACAGAGTGAAATCCTGTCTCAAAAAAAATAAACAAAAAAAAACCACTAGCACTTTGGAAGGCCGAGGCTGGCAGATCATCTGAGGTCAGGAGTTCGAGACCAGCTTGGCCAAGATGGCAAAACCCCATCTCTACTAAAAATACAAAAAATAGTTGCAAGTGGTGGTGGATGCTTACAATCCCAGCTACTCGGGAGGCTGAGGCAGGAGAATCTCTTGAACCCAGTGCAGGGCGGGGAGTGGGTGCGGAGGTTGCAGTGAACCGAGATCACACCACTGCACTCTAGCCTGGGTAAAAGTACAAAACTCCATCTCAAAAAATAATAATAATTAAATAAATAAATAAATAACACCACACAAACACAATGGCCCAAGGTAGAGCAGCTGGTCAGTGAACCTCGCGGGACATCCAGCTCCCAAAGAAAAAAGAAGTCACACAAAAGAGAATTCACCTTTTAAAATTCTGTAGAGGCAATGAACCCACTGAGACCACAGTCAGATTCTGAAAAAGGCAATGGCATATGCCATGGAGACCTCCAGACATCAGGACAAGTTCTCAGCAGTCATAAAAACATCCATCAGGTTCCTGGAGCCAGTGTTAAGACCATTCAGAGATATCTTGGCTGGGCAGGTTCCTTGGGCACGGCACAAGGGCATTGCAGCACCCAGGTCCATGGAGTTCATAAAGGACTCTTCCAGCATGAGTGGGCACAGAAGATTCCCCAGGATGCAGGGACGTGACTGTCTGTCTGTTCAGCTTACTTACTGAGTGCCTGTCCTGTGCCAGGTACCGTTCAGTTACCAGGATGCAATGGTTATAGCTGACCCTTGAGAAATTAACAATTTAAGGTGGGGAGAGACACATAGATGGCTAATTGTAATTCAATATGGTGAGTACTTGTAACAGAAAATTGTTTTTAAAAATCCTACTGGCTCAAAAATCAGAGAAATACCATTTCTGTCTAAAGAGATGTCAGGGAAGAGTACGGAGAGGAGAAGGACCTGCAAGACTGAGTTAGGAAGAAAAGAATTAGAACTAGATTTGAATGTGGTCAAAGATAAAACATTTATTTCCAGGCCCCTTATATGAGGTGTGGTTTGAGCAGGAGCTTGAGATTAGAGTGGCAGGGCCCCCTCAGGCTACTGGGAGCATTTATTTCTCTTTGAAACATGAAGCCTCCAAGGAAGCCTGCATGTGCTGTTTGGTAGATGCGTGACCATGGAGCTGGGGAGGCCACTGGTTTCCCTGCATCCAGCCTCACTGAGCGGTGTTCTCTGTCTCTGTTTCCCCAGCTCGGAGCCCAGTGTTTTCCCACTTATCATCTTCTCTCCAGGGCCTCTGGACCATCCGGGCATACAAAGCAGAAGGGAGGTGTCAGGAACTGTTTGATGCACACCAGGATTTACACTCAGGTCTGTCCATTTCTGGAAATGGTTTCAAAGGACAGGATCTGCTGCTTTTTCTGTCTTAACTTCCCTGGTCCGATGAGCTTGTTGGCTGGCACCTCAGGGCCCAGCCCCACATCCTGCTTTTTTGCGCATCTTCCTCTCCTCCACCGCCCATCCCCTTCTTCTGGGCTGGGACTCCTCTCGGAATCGCTGCTGCCGGTTTCTTCTTTGTGCCTCCTGACTGGCTTGCAGGGTCCTTCTCTCACCATGCATGGCCTGTGGCTTTGTCAGCAAATGTCTTCTGCAAAAGGCCACCTAGTAAATGTTTTAGGCATTGTGTGCCATTATTGTCTTTGTTGGAATTAACCACCTTTGCTGTTGTAGCACAAAAGCAGACGTCAATACATCAGCAAGCGGCTGTGACTGTGTTTCAGTAAAACTTTATTTACAAAAATAAGTGCTGGCTCACATGCTGTAGTTTGCTGACCCTTGCATCAGCGAAGATTTTTTCGATTTGGAAATTTCAGAATTTCCACCAAATCTACAAAACTTGGATCCATCATTCCAATCTTTATTTTATCTTGCTGATTAAATGGCATTTTAAAAACCACATGCTAAAAGGAAAAAAGTAGCAAACAAACAACAAACAAAAAACCACATGCAAATCTTGTTAGTGAGGTCATTTTGATACAGTCCCTGAGCAATAGTGTGCGCGGGCCTTCTGGTAAGTATGGAAGGTGGGAGAAGTAAATGGGGACTACACTCTGCTATTGGAGAACTGAAATAGTCAATCATGTGCGTGGGTGGACTTCACGTGAGATGCACTTCACATAAGTACCTCTCAGCACTGCAAGAGATGTCCTTATGAGACTGTTTTTCTCAGTTCTTTATTAGGATCATATTCCTGGGTTTCATATTTGCATGCATCTTCACTCAAAGCCATCATATACCACTGTGTATGTGTATCGTATAGTGCCTGTATCACTTAGCTTTCTGGAATCTACAGGTTCCTTGGGTGTGCAACTTTGCCGCCCAACTCCATGTAAACATCTTCTGCAGCTCAGCTGAGCAAAACGCACTCTCGCATCCAATGCAGTGAATACGGTTCTAGTTATTCATCATGCTTGTTACCGTTCTCAAATTCAGAGGCTTGGTTCTTGTTTTTGACAACATCCCGCTGGTTCGCCGTCCGTCTGGATGCCATCTGTGCCATGTTTGTCATCGTCGTTGCCTTTGGGTCCCTGATTCTGGCAAAAAGTAAGTGCAGATGTGAATAACTATGTATGGTATGATTACAATTTATAGCTGTGTTTACAGTTATTAAATTATACTCTTGCCACCTTGTCTAATACTACATAACTGTTTGGTCCTAATGAAGTGTATTTAAATCATTTACGGTGTGTCAGGTTGGATAGGGTTCAGCAGTGTGACTCGTCTGAGGAGTCATTTGGGTCTTGAGGGGTTTCTTTTATCTTTCTTTGCATGGGTTGAGGTGTGCGCAGTTGAGATTCTGAACATTCCTGTTAGCGTCTGGTAGTTGCGAAGAGAGAACCAATTTATTCTGAAGCATTTTGTCCAGCTTATGGTGTTAGCTTTCCAACTGCTTGTATCTGTTGTTTGTAGTTGCCTGGCGCATGAGGTTGAGAAAAATTCTCAGCAGGAAAGAGTATTATCTTCACTGCCACATGGGTGCCAGACAAGCATGGCATGAGTTCACCACCCCAGTAACAACGGTGCATTACAATACTTATTAATGGAACAAGGAGAGTAGTATTTTAGTCTCAAAAGCGTTGGCACTTACAACCTATTGCTTTGTTTTTAGTGGTTTCCAGCTGTGGTTGCATTGCACGTAGAAAGTGGAATAATGTAATGGGCTTTGAAACCATAATAATGAATGTCTGAATAATGACATTATTTCTTGCATATATAATGCGGTTAATTAAATGTATGTCGATCCTGTTGGAATTCATAAAATCATCTAATAATTTTTCTGAATATACAGTGTTGTTTTCCCCATTGTCTCTTGATCTCAAGCAACAAACGGTAAAAGTATAGCTATAAATGTCATTATATGAGAATTGTTTTGACATCATGAAGGGTTCCTCTTGCTAAGTGGCAGAAGGAGCCAGGCCTAGGTGTGAAGTGAGACTGACTTTATTCCCTTCTTCCTCCTTATGTAGCTCTGGATGCCGGGCAGGTGGGCTTGGCGCTGTCCTATGCCCTCACACTCATGGGGATGTTTCAGTGGTGTGTTCGACAAAGTGCCGAAGTTGAGAATATGGTAATATTTATCTTCACGTTCTTTGCTTTTTCAAGTCTCCTTGCCATTAAAAGGTATAAAAGCCATTCTGATGTGAAATACTAAAACTGTAATTTTTACATCTTTGCTAACAGATTTTTGAAAGATCCATCCTCCATCTGTTTTAAGTTAATGTAAAATAAAATATATACATCTTTTTCTGAGTCTCATGGTTGCTATGTCAGCAGGTTTTATATTTATCACAAGCTTTTTCAGATGTAATAAACGTCTCTGTAGGAGGGAGGTTCAGAAATTCTGGAGAGGATATAAGCTAATTTCTTAGAAGCCTGTTTATTTTTGTTTCTTAATGGGTAATTCCTCATTCCTGGTAAAAGAAGATTTCAGGATTTTGAGGTTGTTTATATTTAATTAATGGGTCTCCTCCTCTCCCAGTTCCAGTGTTTACTCTCTTATGTGATGAACAGAAGGAAGGAAGGCCTGAGGTTTGCTGGTGTGCCTTCGTGGTACAGAAAGCCACCTCTTGGAAGGTGTTAGTCAAAGGGTATTAGTTTATGGTGGTATAGGAGGCTTTAATCAATGTTTTAAATATTTGCGCCTTCCCCTAAAGGGAGAAAAGCAATGAACTTAAAAATCTTTTCATTCTGCCCATAGAGCAAAAGTTGAGTAATTATTACAGTGAGGTTTCATGATCATCCAATTTAACCAATCTATATCAGGTGATCCTTCTATAGCAAAAGATTCTTTAATGGGGGTGGGGGTCAGGGGGCAGAGTTTTGCTCTTCTCGCCCAGGCTGGAGTGCAATGGTGCGATCTCAGCTCACTGCAACCTCTGCCTCCCAGGTTCAAGTGATTCTCCTGCCTCAGCCTCCCGAGTAGGTGGGATTGCAGGCATGCATCACCACACCCGGCTAATTTTTGTATTTTTAGTAGAAATGGGGTTTCACCATGTTGGCCAGGCTGGTCTCAAACTCCTTACCTTAGGTGATCCACCCACTTCGGCTTCCCAAAGTGCTGAGATTATAGGCGTGACCACCGCGCCCAGCCAGCAAAATATTCTTGATTGGTGGCTGTGAGTATTCTTTTCCTTTACAAAATTTTCTTGCCTTTAATACAGATGTGAAAAGTGGATAAACAAAATCTAAGCATTCATTTCTCTCATTCTTTTAACCTGATGTTGAAGGAAGTGGTTGTAAGTGAAGGTGTTACACAATGATGAACCAAATTTGTACGTCATCAACATCCTCGTCTGTCTCCTGCTTCTCTCCTTAACCAACTATGTATGAAAGAAGAACATTTCATTGACAGTCTCTTAACATCCATAAATGACACCCTCCATTCCTAACCCCTGGGGATGTCATATTTCTTTCAGATGATCTCAGTAGAAAGAGTGATTGAATACACAGACCTTGAAAAAGAAGCACCTTGGGAATATCAGAAACGCCCGCCACCGACCTGGCCCCATGAAGGAGTGATCATCTTTGACAATGTGAACTTCATGTACAGTCTAGATGGGCCTCTGGTACTGAAGCATCTGACAGCACTCATTAAATCACGAGAAAAGGTTTGTTTAAAGCATCTTGCCTCTTCTCAATTTCAGAAGATTTAGTGCTTTGTGTGCTTGCTGTCTTCCTTGTGGATGTGTGAAGGGGATTAGTGGTACATAGGTTAACGTGTCTTGGAAACTGACCATGGAATGTGGATACCAACATTCTTTCTTCATGCTATGAACTGCTTTATTGTGGTTGGTGGGCCCCGGGCCTCAGGGCTGGAGCTTAATGTGACCCAGGATATTCTGTTTGACACCTAATTACTCATGGGTTTTTCCTGGAAGTCAACTCTGGCTTTGTGTCACCAACACTCCCATGTCTAATTCTGTTGATTTTTACTTTGTTGCGTTTCTCAAGTCCTTCTCTTCCTCTCCATTGCTGCAGCTTCTGTTCCAGCCTTTCTCCTCCTCAGTCCTTTGGTCTTGTGTTAGTCTGTTTTCACGCTGCTGATAAAGGTATACCTGGGACTAGGCAATTTACAGAAGAAAGAGAGGTTTGATGGACTTAAAGTTCCACGTGGATGGGGAGGCCTCAGAATCATGATGGCAGGCAAGGAGGAGCAAGTCACATCTTCTATGGATGGCAGTAGGAAAAGAGACAGTTTGTGCAGGGAAACTTCCCCTTATAAAACCATCAGATCTCATGACACTTACTCACTATCATGTGAACACCACGGGAAAGACCTGCCCCCATGATTCAATTACCTCCCACTGGGTCCCTCCCATAACATGTGGGAATTGAAGATGAGATTTAGGTGGGGACACAGCCAAACCATATCAGGCCCTTTCGTTAGTCTTTCTTGCCTTCCTTTAACCTGTGTTTTGCTTTCCCTCCCCATCCCTCTCACTGCAAACTCTTTCTTTCTGAAACAGTTTGATCACAGATCTGATCCTTACATGGCCAGCTCCTGGCCTGGGTGACCAGCTGCTGCAACCTTACTGAGCCCCAGGCCCACCCCGACAGGACCTGTGTGGCTCTCATCCCCCAGGGAAGACCCAGATCCCATGACCCCATCAGTGCTCAGAAGTCAGACCCCCAAGCTGGAGGCAGTAAGGGCACCAGAGACTCACTCAAAGTCAGTGAAAGGAAAGCAAGGAGAGGCTTGGGAGGCTGTGTGGAGGTTTGTGAGCTCATTCTGCAGGCAACTAAGTCTACCAGCAATGTCCCTTTCATATGTGGCCTGGGGCCCTTGGCTAGGACTAGGACAGCCTCTTGAAGGAACTAAATCAGAACAAACAAGACAGTAGAATCTCTTCCCCTTCCCACCCCTCTCCTTACAACTCCCAATATGGACACACAGCCCTTGTCCTCAGGGTGCTGTCCTTCTCTCCAAGCACCTGTCTGCCTTGCTCCTAGTGTGCACCCTTTTTCAGTCAGTTCAGACATCTCTGCCTCTTTGAAACTATGTTCTCCACATTGTCTTATAGATTCTTTTTCTGATACAGAGTCTTGCTCTGTCACCCAGGCTGGAGTGCAATGTCACATTCCCGGCACACTGCGACCTCCGCCTCCCAGGTTCAAGCGATTCTCCTGCCTCAATCTCCTCAGTAGCTGAGATTGCAGGTGTGCACCACGGCACCCAACTCATTTTTGTATTTTTAGTAGAGACCGGGTTTTGCCATGTTGGCCATGGCTGGTCTCGAACTCCTGAGCTAAAGTGATCCAGCCACCTTAGCCTCCCAAATCATGCCTAGGATTACAGGCATGAGCCCCCATGCCTGGCCAGATTCTTTAATATAACATTTGTGGTCCACCCGTGTTCATAACACCATTATTTGCAGTGAGCAGTAGGTGGAAGCAGCCCAAGTGTCCATTGACTGAGGAATGGAAAAACCAAATGTGATACACACACATAATGGAATATTATCCAGACTTAAAAAGAAGGCAATTCTGACACATGCTGTGACATGGATGAGCCCTGAGGACAGTATGCTAAGTGAACTAGGCCAGACACCTAAGGACGGTGCTGTAAGATTCCACTTACAAGTGGGTACCTGGAGTAGCCAGTCATGGAGACAGAAGGTAGGATGGTGGGTGGCAGGGTAGGGGAATAGGCGTTAGTGTTTAATGGGTATAGAGTTTCAGTTTTATAAGATAAACAGAGTTTTAGAGATGGATGATGGTGATGGTTGCCCAACAACATGAATGTATTTAATATAATTGAACTGTACATTTTAAAGTGATTATAATAATCAATTTGATGTTATTTTACTACAATTTTAAAAGTACATAAAGTACTTTTGTGTATTTTACCACAATTTTCTTTTTAAAGAAGATAGCACGATGGCATGATTTATAATTCCGAGTCAGCATCTCACAGTACCCTGAGTCTCTTAAATTCAGGGAGCATTTTATGTTCATCTCTGTGCCCCCAGAAAATGGCATGCTGCAGGGCACATGGTGGGTGCCTGTGAGAGTGAGGGATAGGCACGTATGAAGAAATCAGTAACAAAACACACACAACAGCTCCTCCAACAGCCCATTCTCTGGGTGTCAGTGTCACTTTCAAAACTGCTCTTTTTCTTCTCAGCGCTTCCTACCACAGACCCATTTAATGGGCTATAGTCATAATTGAATGAATGATACCCTTGTGCCATGAAAAATAAATGTACAGATTCATGCCCAGATAATACCCAGGGAAGCAGCAAAAGCTGATTCGTCATTATCTACCCAGCGACCTTGTGAGTGTGAAGAGGGTGGAGACCACTCTGCAGGCAGCATCAGCTGTAGCTCTTGCTGAAGGCAAGGTTTCTCAGATTCTGTTCTGATGGTGCCGGGGGATGTCTGCTTACTCCCAGACAATGTGTTTATTAGGTCCTACCTGATCAATATCATTCTGTTAGTTTGGCCACGTTGTAAATTTCCCTTGAAGCCATAAAATATGAATTATCTACAAACCTCTGTTGTGCAAGTTAGAAAACAACCTATATCCCCACATTGATAGTGTTCCATCTTAAAACCATCCCAAATCATAGGATTACCTGAGATCTAAAATGTGGGAGGGTAAATTGAATTTGAAGACTGGATTATAGCTGCAACCACTTGGCTTTTGAGACAGAGTCTCGCTGTGTCATCCAGGCTGGAATGCAGTGGCGCAATCTCGGCTCACTCTGCCTCCCAGGTTCAAGCGATTCTCCTGCCTCAGCCTCCCGAGTAGCTGCAATTACAGGCGCCCGCTGCCACACCTGGCTAATTTTTGAATTTTTAGTAGAGATGGGGTTTCACCATGTTGGTCAGGCTGGTCTCGAACCCCTGACCTCAAGCAATCCACCTGCCTCCACCTCCCAAAGTGCTGGGATTACAGGCGTGAGCTACCGCGCCCAACCCCACTTGGCTTTCGATTTGTGTCCTGGTTCACTCACAGTGTCACCTTTAGCTTCATTTGTGTATTCAGAGATGGCATTCAGGCAGCATCGTGGTAAGTTGGTTCCACTTTGCCTGTGTATGTTCAGGGTGTGTCTCCTCCACACCTGCCTGCGGCCCCAGGATCTCAGGCAGTCCCTTTGCTGTTGGAGCTGATGGAGAGGGGCATTGTTTCCGGCGGGGATATAGGAATGTGTCTACACAGCAGAAACAGGGCTTCATTCTCTTTCAATTGCTTCATCTGCTCAGATTTCCTGGACATTATAATAAATAGGCAAAAGTAATAGGTGCTAAGTAGGTTTCTAATTCATGGAAGAAATAGCGAGTAAAAAAGAAAGCACTAAAATGAGGTATCTACCACCCTAAGCTTCCTGGTTACACTCCAAACACTGGATGCATTTTTCATTTAGATGATTTTGTGGTTGATTTAATCATTTTAGAGAGTACTGGGCCATTTTAAAGCATTTTTCATCTTTAGAGGTAGATTGATTTTGGTTTGTTATTTTTTTTTCCCTTGCTCAGAGCTATTACTTGGATAATACATTTTTACGGATGTGTACTAGACCTTGCTATAATGTGCAAAATATTAGTTTCTTATATTCTCTCCTTTTTTACATTAATGTTTGCTGAGAAACCCCTCCTCTCACAGCCAGATTGTCCCACTTCCCCTGCCTACTTGCTCGTCTCAGGGGCCGGGATCAGCATCACCTGCCTCTGCTGGAAACATGTTAGAAATGCAGACTCTCAGGCCCACCCCACCCTTTTGATTAAACTTGCATTGGGACAAGAACCACCCCCACTCCCGCCCCTGCAGTAGAGCCATCACTCTCCGCTGAACAATTTTTGATGACTAATAATCTGTGATTTCCGAGAAACTTCCTCTGATAACCTGAAGTTGAGCTCATGGATTTCCCCAGCCCCTCTTATGACTAAACATGAGACTCTGGATAGTCCTGGGCCAAGTGCCACCCGACAGGTTTTTTGTTTTTTGTTTTTGTTTTTGTTTTTTTTACTTTTATATTCTGCAAATTATGAATTTACATTACAATTTAATTCTGTGTGATTCCATGTTTATGCATTCATTTGCACCTTTCCAGTCATCTCTGTCTTCTATCACAGTTTTCATCCCACCATACAGCCTTCCCTGAATAGCAGTCTCTGTCCTCATACCAGCTCAGCACAGCCATGTGTTTGAGTTCCCTTCACTACTGATGGGATCAAAAGGAGTCTCACTGCCCCAGACAGTACACTAGGTCTGTCTGGCCTGTTTCCCAGTTGCCCCATGTCCAACGTAGCTGCAGGCTTTTCTCCCAGCCTCTTCTGTGGGTGCCAGTTCTTCCTGTCAACAGCTGTAATCCACCCTAATACAGGTACCGTCTTGGCTCAAAGTAGTCATCTTCTTGTCCCAGCCACCTTTTTATACTCATCCATGTCCACAGCATGCATTAAATGTGTGACAATAGGACCAGTGTGGCAGGCCAGTGCCTTTAAATACAACCACACTTCTCCCTGCTGTATCCCTTCTAGCTACACCAAGGGAATACAGAGCCAGGCTATCCAAGTGATTGGGAGGCCATCAGCAGAATGGGCAAGAGGCAGGCAGACCTGGGTTTCAGTCCCATTCCGTCACTTAGGGGCTCAGTTATTTCAGACGGTTTAATCAATCTTACTAAGTCTCTATTTCTCTCTTTTGCAAAATGCAAGTGATAGGGCCTAACCATTAGAGTTGTATACTTAAGCAAGATAAGAGGTGTAAAACACCTAGCTTACTGTATACCTGAACAGTATGGCAACAGATTTCCCATAAGTGTTTCAAGTCTCAGTTAAATGCTCAACTCTCTGGGGGATTTCTGCGTTTTGCAGGACACCACAGGTGATACAAATAATACAGAGCTAATTCTAATATAAGTCCTGCCCACAGCACATACCGCCTAGTAGAGGAAACAAAGGAGCATATAAATGGCTGCTCTGTAAGACAGAAGGAGTTCACAGATTTTATGGCTGTTTAGAAAAGGCGTTACGACAGCCATTAAGTGTGGGCGAAATCCACATGGGGACAGGTGGAGGATTTTAATGCAATTATGCATTTGAAACAGACTTTGGAAGGTGGTTAGAATTTCAGCAGGTCGAAATTCATGTGAAAGGCACAATGGCATATGCCAAGGCTCGATGCCGTGATTCGATGTGAATGAAGAATTAGGCACCTCTGAGTGTACAGGGACGTGAACTACCAGGTGAATAACACACATGTGCACGCTTAGTCCTCACAGCCACCCCGCCAACTCAAGCCAGCTCATGGCGCTAAGGATGGAAAGGTTAGTCGGGACCGTTTTGTAGAGGAGCTTTCCCAGTGTGGAGTGCCAGGCAGAGAGCTGTACTTCGGAAGTTTAATCTGAGAATTGAGTGCACGGGGAAGACGCTAAAGGCCTGAAGCCAATTGATTTTATGTACTACTGGCAAGATGTGATGAGGCAAGTGATTTCACTTTGTAGAATCAAACTAATGTTGACTAAAACAAAGCTGTAACACCCTGCTTAGTGAATTTGCAGGGATACAGGTGGGAGTAGAAATTGGTATCATATTTCTGGAGGCTAGTTTGGCATCACTTAACAGCCTCCTTTGAAAATGTTCATACCTGTTCCTCAGCAATTCCACATCTAAGAATTTATTTTAAGAAACTAATTAAGGTTGTTTGCAAAGATGTAGCTTCAAGCATATTTAACATGGTATTATTTACAATAGTGAAATATTGGAGCCTAAACATCCACAAATAGGGGATTTGTTGAATCAATAATCATATACTGTAATATGTAGCTAGTGAAGTAAGTACTTTTATTAAATAATAAATGAAAATAGATTACAATAATCTGTTCATATTCTCATTTTGCCTAAATGTATGAGATTATATCTTTAGGAACGTAGATAACTCACACTCAAGTTCAGAAAGAAACGGTATTAACATGTGACAAGGATTCTGTCAGATTGCTGGGGTTGTGGCCAGCATTTATTTATTTTTCAAATTCACTTGCACTGATTATAACTAGCAAAAGCGTTTTTTTTTTTTTTTTAAGATGTTAAGCAGCCTTGCACTCAGGTAATGGTTGCAGAAATTAAAATGAGGATACTGAGTCAAAAAACAGAACAAGTAATATTTTTAGTGCTTGGAGTTGGGGAAAGCTGGGAGGTGCATGTTTTGAGCCTGTGAACTTGAGGAAGAATTTATTGGATTAAAATGGAGGAGTCAGAAGCAGCAGCTGTTTTGAGGGGAGTGTTGGGTATTGATCATATATGTTGATCATATATTGATCATATATGTTGAGTTTCATATATGAAGAGAGACCCACGTACAAATGTCTAATGTTTGCCCAAAGAGACCGCTCTTGGCCCAGTTGGGAAAACAAAAAGGGTCAATTGCAAAGCAATTAAAATAAGACTAAGTGTCTTTTTGGTGTTATGAATGTAAACTTACTGGTATTAGTGATATTCTCCATAGGATTTGGTAAAACCCATTGGTGACTTGTGAAAGACTTGGAGACTATAATTTTGATGACTTTGAAAAGAGAAATAACCAGAGCCAGGTTTTGTTTGGTTGCCTTTTGCTGATTATATCCTCACCTGAGTGTGGAGTGCCTAGTCTTATGGTTGTAGGCAGCCCTCAGTGTCCCTACCTTTAAGGAGTCCATCCTGGCCATCTACCAGTAATAGCCTACAAATGTCCAGGTTTGCACAGATGGATCAGTTTCCCATAGAGCTGATAATGTGAGTGTCCACACATTCTCACAAACACAGCATTTGTCTGTGTCTAGGTATGTGCTGATTTACTCAGAAACACACATGAGCCACACGTGTGTGTGTGTGTGTGTGTGTGTGTGTGACAGAGACAAAATATAGTCAGGTATTTAATATTTGGAAGTTTCTTTACCAAAGACTATGTCATCTTAAATGATAGAACTCTGGAAAAATGAATACTCGTTTATGTCACTTCTGACACCTCTGTCTTGAATTACTATTCCTGTGAAATTAATATCCCTGTGACATTATCTCAGAAATTCAAATTGGTGTGTATACACACACACACACACACACACACACACACACACACACCCCCAGATGTACCTATGTGCAGAAAATGGGCCACCTATAAAGTATAAACTAGGATTTACCATAAGGTAGAATATGACTCCAAAGGTAATACAATTAGCTAAAGCCACTTTTTAAACATTTACATTTTAATATTTTGTACACGTATCTCTTTAAAGATAAAATTCCTTGTGGAAATGCCATGATTGACTTTACAGATGTGGAGGTGTTCAAATGAGGTAATATGTAACATTCCCAACACACACCCAGTGCCCAGTAAAGTTCTGCGGTGAGTTTTAAAATTTATTTAAAATCGACAAATCATTGAAGGCATCTTTTATGTCCTTCGTTGACTCCAGATTCCTAAATAAGGAGGATGTCATTTCTTGGGAAGTTCCCACCAGGAAACTTGCAGGTGGGCAAGGTCCTTGGCGCAGAGGCCAGTTTCTGCATACAGATTTATATGCACACATGTGAAAGCCAGTTTTTACAATATAGAGGTATTGCCCCCACCTTTTTTCCTGCATTTTATTGATTCTTTGATCGTATTGGCCGTGCACTTCATTTCTCTCTCTCTCGGCTTTAATAGAGGGGTGATACTTGACACAAATGTTTCTCAAGGGACAATTGTAAGTATTAATTAGTTTGTAGAATGCCTTTTGAACTGTGCAGATGAAAGGCCTTACGTAAACAGCAAATGTTATTTGTGGTGGTGTTGATCTCATTATGTGTGTTTTGGCTGCTAGTGTCTTTTAAGACACTGCAATCTTCACTTCAGAATTTTAAAACATTTCCTTTTGAGACAAAATATAGTCAGATATTTAATATTTGGAAGTTTCTCTACCAAAGAATATGTTATCTTAAATGATAGAACTCTGGAAGAATGAATACTCGTTTATGTCACCTCTGACACCTTTGTCTTGAATTAATATCCCTGTGAAATTATCAGAAATTCACATTACTCAGATCCTGCAAGTAAAGCTAATTTAAAAGTTGCCTTTTCATGGGCCACTTAGGAGACTGTTGACTTTTCAATGCCAGTAAAAGAATTCGGTTATTTTTAACTCTTATTTAGAGCAGTGGATCTCAACCAGGGGCAGTTTTGCTCCAGAGGACATTTGTCAGTGACATTTTCGGTGGTATCATTCTGGGAGTGTGCTCCTGGCATCTATGCAGTAGGGCCCAGGGATACTAGCAAACCTCCCACAATGCCTGGGGCAGCCCCCAAAATGAAGATGTATCCAGCTCAGAAGGTCATCAGTGCTGAGGTTGGGAAAGTCTTAGACTACACTCAATATAGAATGTCCTTAATTCTTCTTCAAAAACCGAAAGTTTTCTCCTAGTTTTGCTGCATCTTGTGATTCTTTTTTTTTTTTTTAATCCTGCCTCCTGGATCTCTCTGTAGGTTGGCATTGTGGGAAGAACCGGAGCTGGAAAAAGTTCCCTCATCTCGGCCCTTTTTAGACTGTCAGAACCCGAAGGTAAAATTTGGATTGATAAGATCTTGACAACTGAAATTGGACTTCACGATTTAAGGAAGAAAATGTCAATCATACCTCAGGTATGCAAGTCATAGCGTCCTTACCTGCCCCTTTTATAAGAGCTACTATGTTTAATTGCTTTTACTTTTATTGCTTTTTTTTAATTGGATGAAAGGATTGTTTTTTTTTTCACCCAATAGAGCATGTTTTTATGAGCAGATATTTTCAACAGGTATTTTCATTAGATATCTGGCTTCGTTCGTTCGTGTGTGTGTGTGTGTGTGTGTGTGTGTGTGTGTGTGTGAATAACTTACCCAGATAGGTTTCTGTACTAAGATCCCACAATTTTATCCACTGATAACCATAAAGAACAAAATGATGCATGGTTTGTTTAGCACTGGGGAGGTTTCTATGGGGAGATGTGGATTTTAAGTGTCTTGATGTTGGAATTTTGCTGTAGGAACTAAAGCTACCTTCTCAAAGGTGATTACCTCCATGAAGGGCTTTCTGTGAAACTGTGGGCTATGAGAATTAAAAAACTTTTAGTTGCTTTGCGGTGACTTTTAGAATCTAGCTCTTGGTGAATGATTTTAACCGGGAGGTTGTTACAGACTAGCAAGGAAGAACATGAGAGAAGGAATTCCATCTCTCTGCACTTCATCTTCATCTTTCTTACGATCACTGTTGTAAGAGTGCGTGGTGTTCTTCACACAGACCCAGTGAGTGTTTGCTCCGATGGGGGAGGGTTAAATTGGCCATCCCTGTCTGGACTCTGATTCTATTTTCTTTTCTTCTCCTTTGCAGAAGTGTGACTCTCAAGGAGTATTCTAGAGATTGGATTCTTTGTACAATAAGAGCTCCTGTCATTGCTTTGGTTCATATTAACATAAATTCAGAAAGTATTCATTGAGTACTATTCTCCAGGTGTATAGGCATGAACAACACAGACCTTGTCCAAGCCGGTGGGCGTGGGATCTGCAGCTGTGGGGCCTCATGGCTTCCATCGGGCCTCACAGTTCCATCCTGTCCTTCACTTTAACATTTCCACATATTCAGCTCCACACATGACTGGGTTGTTTTTTTTTCTTTTAATGTGGGTTTTTTTTTTTTTTTTTTTTAAACACTCTGTAGTCATTGGGGGGAGCTGAGGAGCGCGCGCGCACACACACACACACACACACACACACACATTCTGGAGAAGAGAAACACAGAGGAGACAAGTGTAAAACCCAGGCAGAAATGAACTTTCTGGGCATGTGGATATAAACAACTCTTCAATGCCCGTTGATTAGGAAGCATAGAGAACATGCCACTGGAAGGGAAGGAGAATGTGATTTTTATCTTAGACCGACTACAGTTATGGCTATCCTAGCACTGACCTCTAAAACAACTGGAATTACTCTTAAGTAATTTTGAGGATGTGAAGAAATTGGAGCCCTGTGCACTGTTGGTGGGAATGTAAAATGGTGCAGCCACTTTGGAAAACAGTATAGAGTTCCCCAAAAAATGAGAACTAACGTGATCCAGCAGTTCCACTTCCAGAAAGAGTTGAAAGCAGGATTTCAGAGTTTCGTACATCCACAATCATCATGGTACCCAAAAGGTGGAAATAGTTCAAGTGTCCGTCACCAGATGAGTGGATGAACAAAACGTGGTCCATCCATACAATGGGGAATTATTCAGCTTTAAAATGGAAGGAAATCGTGACAGTCTATAATGCAGATATACCCTAAAGACATTATGCTAAGTGAAATAAGCCAGTCACAAAAGGACAGACACTAGATGGTTCCCCTAATATGAGGTACCTAGACTAGTCAAATTCACAGAGACACAGAGTAGAAGGGTGGCCACCAGGGGCTGAGGGAAGGTGGGGGATAAGGAGTTACAGTATTTCACAAAGGACTTCGGTTTTGTCAGATGAAAGGCATCTTGTGAATGGATGGTGGTGATGGCTACAAAACAATGTGAATGTCTTTAAGATCACTGAAATGTTTACTTTGAAACGGCAAAAGCGATACATTTTATGCTATGTGTATTTTACCACAATTTTTATTTTTAATTTAAAGAAGAAAAAGTATCCCTTTCAGGATAAAAAGGGAAGAAATGTTTAGCACGTTAGATTCCCTCTGGCTGTTAGAAGCATGACTTCGTGCTTACAGTAGAAAATGAGAGTATAAATTCTCAAGTTTTATATTTTGGTTATGCCCATCTCAAAAATGGGCCAAATGAGGTTTTCTCAGCAGAGATAATGCGCATGTCTGTAAACTACTTTTATATCCTTGGATGAAAGGTTCTAGGAACGTGCCCTGCATTACTTTGAATGCTTCTTAATAAGAAATAGTTGTGTGCTTGTGCACATAAAAGAACTCTAAATAAAGAAGTAACATTAGATGATTCTTGGCTCTGCCAGTAATGTTTTGGAAGCACATCTGAGCAAAGACTAAATATACCTTGACATCACCAGGTTTTGGTTCAGTTCCATAAGTTTCCACCCTACTTTTGAGCAAATGCTCTATGTATGTAGTCCAGAAAGCATGCTTACAAAACACTGCTAAGCTTTGTATCCATGTAGATCCTGATCTCCAAGCATTGTAAACATAGAAGCTTTCTTTTTTAACTTTGTATGGCTTTGTCTCCAAGGCTCAATGTTGGTTGAAAAAAAGTAACATGGTCTAGAGCGACTGTGCAATGCTTAATACGACCCAGGAAATCATTCAGCAGACTACCTGGGATAGAATCTTTCAGAGCATGTTCTAAGCGTCAGCACGACCCACATTTTTATTCCAGCACTGCCTGATACAAGTGTGACCTCAATGAAGTCACTTAGCCTCCAAGCTTCAGTTTCCTCATCCTTAAACCAAGCCTAGTAATTACTAACTCACAGATTTGCTGTGAAGATTTTACTGGATGAGAACATGTTTGTGGTCCTACTCTGGGTTCTGAGGAATGCTCAATAAATAGCAACTATTTCTAATTAAGGATTGGGGTAGAGGCCTTTAGGGTATTATTGCTACTCACTATTCTAGAAGGACTTGGCTCATTAACTTCTGTTTCTATTTTTGTGATCCTTGGTGAATTCCTTTAACCAAATTGTTTATGTAAATTTAAATAGTGAAGCAGCAACAAACAAAAAATGCACAATAAAAACCTAAGAGAGAAATCTAATATTTTTTTCACAAGGAACAAAAGGTGAGGATTGCTTTGTTTTCTGGCTTTCCCCCACCCCGGTCTTAACGGCATTCCTGACCACTGTCAGTACCCCACTAATGCTTTGCATTTCCTGAGCAGGCAACTGACACTGGTTCTCAGCCCTGCGTGAGAACAGGGGCTTGTCCCTCTTAGATCCAGTGCTTTAGTGATAGTTGCGTGCAGACAGGTTACACAGGTAGTGAGAATTCCTAACATTTGCGGAATCCGTAACATGGTTAGCTTCTTTCCTTGCCATCTCCCACTTCATCCTCACAGCAATTCTGTGTCATCCTCATTTGACATATTTTCAAACAGGCACAGAGAGCTTAACCCACTTAACTAAAAGTAAACAGCAGAGCCAGGATTCAAATGGAATTTACAGCAAATCCCATATGCCAGATCCTGAGTTCCTGAACCCTCTCCTAGGGACTTTAAACCCATGTTGGCCGGCGCAATCCCTGATTGGAACTCTGCTTTGCAGCATGATTTAGTGTGGGCTTGTGCGGGTGCACACACATGCACAGAAACAAAAGTCTCACAAATCTTACTCCATGCTTCTACGCCCTGATATTTTCTATTATATCCATTCTATTCTGGTTCATCTAAAAGACATAATGATGGTCACGAGCCACAAAAGTGATTTCATGATCCATTGGTTGCACCTGCTGTTTGAAGAATAGCACACCTCACTGTCCTGCCCTACTTGGCCAGGCTTTTGCTGCCTGGCAGCACCATGCAAGGAGCCTCATGACATGGTGATTGTCACCGCAGCCCTGTGGGGTGTATCAAGTTAGTCCCATTCTCCAGGAAGGAAACTGAGGCTCGGGGAGATTCATAACTTACCTGGAGATGAATAGTTAATAAGTAGTAGAATCAGAACTCAGAATTATCCAACTCAATTTTTTTTCAGTAAATGTTTGTTGGACAGCATGATTTCTCATCAAACATTTTACTCATTCTTTTTCTTTTCTTTTTTTTTTTTTTTT